ATTCACCATGTAAGGCAATATTGTGTTAACTGTCTAGTACCCATGGATGAAATGTATGTTAATGAACAGTGCTGCTTTCCTGAGCAGCTAGCCATGATCCCATTGCTAGCCATTACTGAGTGGTGGGGTTGTGACCTCATAGTAGAGATGCTGAGAGATGCTGCAAGGGCACACGATCAATCAAGGCTATGATATACAGATTAAAATTAGATTAGATATGTACATCAGTGCTTCTATATACACTGAAGCAAAGCATATTCTTACAGGTACACACATACAGTGCTGTATAAACAAATGTCACATGCACATTACCATTGAAGAGTACTACATTAAGTAAATACAATAAACCAATAAATGCAGAGATGTCAATACTGTTTTAAAACCAATGTATGTGAAATGTTTCAGCACAGCCTGGTGGACAAACAATATCAATGCAATGAAACCCATTCAAATGAATGTCTGCAGCTTGCAATGTTAATCAATATGCAAATCAGGGTCCCAGGAAATTGGCAATGAGGTCTTTGCTAGAGGTGGTCAAAAATATTGTGACTAAACACTTTCCCAGAAAAGCTTATGCTCCAATACTTCTGTTAGTCTATAAAGTGCCACAGGACTCTTTGTCACTTTTTACAGATCCAGACTAATACCACTACCCCCTGATACTTTCCCAGGAAGCTAGGCAGCTGGATGCAAGCCAAAACAATCCATTTCTATTCTCCCAAAATAGAATTTTCTTTCCACAATTTTAAAAGGTTTCCCCTCTGATTTTTGTCCTGAATTGGGATTTTTTTTCCCTGAAAAAATCTAAATTTCTATGCAAGGGAAATTTTATTTTCCATTCAGCTCTGGCACTTGTTTACAATGTCACCTGAAAGTGTGAACAAGTGTTCACATGGCACTGTTGTAGCTAGCATCGCAAGATATTTACGTGCCAGATGCGTTAAAGATTCATATGTCCCTTCATGCTTCAACCACCATTCCAAAGGACATGTGTCCATGCTAATGAGGGGTTCTTCTCGATAATGATTCAAAGCAATGCAGACCAATGTATGTTCATTTTTATCATCATGAGTCAGATGCCACCAGCAGAAGGTAGATTTTCTTTTTTGGTGGTTCAGGTTCTGTAGTTTCCACATCGGAGTGTGGCTCTTTTAAGACTTCTGAAAGAATGCTCCACCCCTCATCCCGCTCAGATTTTGGAAGGCACTTCAGATTTTTAAACCTTGGGTGGAGTGCTGTAGTTATCTTTAGAACTCTCACATTGGTACCTTCTTTGCATTTTGTCAAATCTGCAGTGAAAGTGTTCTTAAAACGAACAACATGTGCTGGACCATCATCCGAGACTGCTATAACATGAAATATGTGGCAGAATGCGGGTAAAACACAGAGCAGGAGACATACAATTCTCCCTCCAAGCAGTTCAGTCACAAATTTAATTAACGCTTTCTTTTTTTAATGAGCGTCATCAGCATGGAAGCATGTCCTCTGGAATGCTGGCTGAAGCATGAAGGGGCTTCTGAATGTTTAGCATATCTGGCATGTAAATACCTTGCAATGCCGGCTACAAAAATGCCATGTGAACGCCTGTTCTCACTTTCGGGTGACATTGTAAATAAGAAGCCAGCAGCATTATCTCCCGTGAATGTAAACAAACTTGTTTGCCTTAGTGACTGAATAAGTAATGGGACTGAATGGAATTGTAGGCTCTAAAGTTTTACATTATTTTGTTTTTGAGTGAAGTTACGTAACAAAAAAACCCTACATTTGTAAGTTGCATTTTCACAATAAAGAGATTGTACGATAGTACTTGTATGAGGTGAATTGAATACTATTCCTTTTGTTTATCATTTTTACAGTGCAAATATTTGTAATAAAAATAAAGTGAGCAGTGTACACTTTGTATTCTCTGTTGTAATTGAAATCAATAGATTTGAAAATATAGAAAAAACATCCAAAAATATTATATAAATTTCAATTGGTATTCTATTGTTTAACAGTGCGATTAAAACTGATTAATCATGATTAATTTTTAATCATGATTAATTTTGAGTTAATCGCTTGAGTTAACAGTGATTAATCGACAGCCCTAATTAAAACCCAAGGGCTCAGTTATCCTTCTGTTAATAGAAAGAATATTACTCCAAAAGTGGTTTACACTAGGCACCTGAGATGTTTAAATGTAATTCAATTACCCATTCATTAGGATAGTAATGTGGGTGTGAATTAGACAAGATTTAGCAGAGCTGTGAATCTCTCTTTGCAAGTGTCTATACAAATCAGGTCACAGCCTGCCATGCACTTTTGCAATAAATACGTAAAAGTCAGGAGAGCACTAAATCACCTGCAGAAAACAACTCAAGCAATAAGTATCCTCCAGAATTTCTACAGCCCCTGCAGCTTTGCAGGAATTTAAAGGAACTTAGGGTCCAGATTTTCAGATGTTGCAAATTAATGGAGCTACATTGATTTACACCAGAAGAACATTTACTTCTAGGGCCCAGATTCTCAAAAGATAGTTAAGCTCCTAACTTCCATTGATTTCAAGAGTTAAAATACCTTTTGAAGATCTGGGCCTAGGTGTCTACTGCCTTGGGAGATATTTGCAGTTCTTCCTAAAGTTCTGACATTCTCTGTTTTGTGCATACATACTACATAACTGCATATCACTCTTGGTGTTTTTAGGTGGATGACACCTTGGGAAACAACCAGAGGTTTGCTGAAGACCAAATCTTAGCGTGGGGTGGGGGCGGGGGAGACAAACTAAGAGGATTGCATGTTTCAGAGGTAGGCCAAGCACCCTGATTGTGCCACAGGGAGGGGTCAGTTAACACAGGATCAGCCTGATCTGTACCCCATTCACTTATGGGGCATTCACATTTTCCAGAAAATTCCTCAAATTGTTGGTGGCCTTTGCCTCTGAAAATACAGGAGTAGGTTAGAGCTCTTCATCCCCAAAGCTGCCCCCTACATTTGCAACTCTGCTATATTGATCTTCTCAAAATATGAAAACAGGTTTGGTGTCCTAATTTTTTTTTACTGAGCTGGGCCAGGTTTGCCTGAGTCTCTTTGGCTATAGGTGCTCTTGTCTCCTGAAAGGATTCATAAGCCAGTGAGGCTTTGGCTGGAAAGGAAGGAAAGTTCAACTTGCAGGCAAGGAAGGTCCCACTGTTTGTGCATTCTTGCTGCTGTTTCTTCAAGTGAACTGCTGAGTAGATGTTTACTTGTGTAGGCAGAGAATGAATGAAGCATCTGACCTAGGAAAACTGGAAAATTAAGTTAACCCCTTTAAACTTGCATTCTTTGGCTCTCAGGGGATCAATCACTTTTTTGGGCAGCTTTCAGATTCAGTGTTTTTTAGTCAAGTATACACATAGCCTATGGCATGGCTCTCTACCTAGGAGCTGGTATGAATGTGTGGTCCAAATAATAGCACATTGGAATGGAAAGTTAGGAATCCCAGCTCTGCCACCTGTTGAATGACCTTGCATAAGTCATATTGTAACCCACACACCTTCTGGGTGTGGTGTTCTGTCCCATCTAGTGGCACTGAGACAACTTAGAAAGAGAGAGAAAATGAGTCTGCTCTACAGTCTTAGCTAACACCCAGCTGGCTTTTAGCCCATGTGGTAGAGGCTCATGCACTAAGCTCCAGAGATCCCAAGTTCAATCCCGCTGCCTGGGGTCTACCCGTCCTTATCCCTGTGTTACAGATGAGGAAGCTAATACTTACCCACCTTTGTAAAGTGTCTGATCTTTTCAGATGAAGCGAATGATACAAGAATTAAGCACTACCATTGGTTCTGCTGAAATTGGCAGATACGGGGAACTACAAAACCATGTGCTGAGTGTAAATAAAAAACAACCCATTTACATAGTCTACAAAGAGCAGGTGCATTTCAAGTCCCTTCATTCTTTTACATATAAGTAACTTTACACAGAGTTTTACATATTTCAGAATAATTCCCACTGTGCAATTTATTAATTGTCCTTTTTATTTGGCTTTAAAAGATTAGGCTGAAATCCACTAAGGCAATAGTAAAATAATCCAAACTGTAACATACAAATCATCATATTATTATGAAACCACTAAATAAAATCAGCAATGTGCTAGTAGCGTGTACTATTAGTAGCATAGTATTTTGGAATGTTTAATATACATAATAGGTACAACACTTTTGCAGAAGCTCTCTCTTTAAATTAGAAAAAATTAGCACAAGAAGCAGTTGTGGTAACACATGGGATCTCAAGTTGCCAAATGTCAATTCAATTAACTATCAGAGTTTCTCCAATCAGTCAATACTCCAAGTTCTGGACTTTCTTATTTCAGAGTCAGATATTGAAGCCTCAGATGGAGTTGTGTGGAGCAATGAGGACATCTTGAGGCCAGTTAGAAAAATGCAAAGCTTACAGTCCTAGATAGGTAAGGATGTGTAGGACCAGTTACTCAGCTGGTGTAAATCCCCATAGACTTCAATGGAGCTGTAAGATATGGCCCAGATATGGCTTTGGTATTCTGCAAAGCACCTGCAAAGCAAGCACAACCCTAACTAAAGTCAATAGGAATTGCATTTCTGAAATTCAGGCCATATTCCTTACCCACTAAGTCAATTTAAAGATAGTAAGACAATAATTAGTTAAAAGAAAACTCATATTTGCCATACTTCTAACTTTATATTTATGACTGTACATTATTAGAGATTCCGGTCCTGGCTACTTACTTTCTTATAACAAAAAATAAGATTGAAAAAAGGTAGCATGACTTTTCTTTCCACTCCTGAATACCAGACCATAATGAAAATCAGCATTACAATATACAGATTTGTAAAAAAGATCAAAAATAATTCAAATAATTTGAAAGGAATAAAATGCAAATCTACACAAAAATTAAATTTTCACAGTGCATTACATTATCCACAAATTTCAAGTATTCTTTCCATACCGTACCTCTGAAAAATTAACTCAAGATCAAATCTCTACTACTTAATCTGTTTAAGATGCCTTTGTACATCCAAATTTCATATATTTTTCTATGCACTCTCAGTTAAAACTGGAGTCTTGGGTCCATTTGAAGAGCCTTCTGTTCCCTGAGTGCCATCTGCAGATTTGGAATCTTCACGCACTTCCATATTCAGATTGGCCTCTGACTCCAGTGAGGTGATATCGATAGTAATCAAATTAGCTTCCTGATCTGTTTTATCTACTTCAATGTCAATTTCAACTGTATCTTCCTGCTTGCTGTTTTTCTTTACTTGTCCATTCTGTGCAGGGTAGATGCTGCTAATAGTATCATACAGGAACTGGTATTGTTCCTAATACAAAAAAGAAGGGATTAGTGTGGATGAAATGCCATGTGATTGAGCCAGGATGGCTGATTTTTTATTTTTTATTTTTTGTCTTAAGTGTTGAAAATGTGAATCTTTCCATTTTATTGAAATATTCAGCATAAGGTGGTCTCCATGGCTGCTGGCCCACAGGAAGTTGAAGCAACTCCCTGCTATGCTCAATTCTGAGTTTATGGTGACACGGCACTGAGGGCATCCCTAATTCCAGGTAGATCAGGTACTAGGTCACTACCTATAATCACCCTATTCCCAAGGCAGCGCAGAATCCATCCCTCTTGATTCACATGGCAAACTATCAAAAGTTTGTTTAAAAGAGAATCAAGCAGGTGGATTAAGTGTACGGTAGTGACTACTGTTCAGTTCTCTAATAAACCACAGCAGAGTTAGCAAATCTAGTTGATTTAGATGGATTGTCAGAGAGAAGAATGCATATTGCATGCAAGCAGGAAAGCAGCTCCTTCTGTGCACTCTTCAGAAAATAAGGAGGGCATTTTCTAACCTGCCTAAGGGAGTTAGGCATCCAATTCCCATGGAATTCAGTGGAAGATGTGCTCCTAAATCCCTTAGGCAGCTGCCAAAGTTCCAGCCTAAAAAATTAATGGTTTACAAACAACATGTTCTGTTCACCTTTTCAGTTTCAAGAAACTGATTATTATAGCTGTGGATAGGTTGCAGACTAGTTCCTTCTTATCACCAATAGCTAATTCACAACTGCTGATGAATAATTAGGGATGAGATAATTATAATACATGTTTCCTATGGAGAAACATTGCCAGTGGTTATTAGAACATTCATGTCTAAAGATAAGCAAATCTATTGCATCATTTGGTTAACTCATAGGATTTACTTACAAAAGTGGGGACCATTCCTGGCCTGGCACGTCGAAGAGATTTCACTACTTGGAAGACATCAATCACATCTTCTGTTTCTGCACTTTCCAAGAGAGTCAACAAGGCGCAAAACACACCAGTTTGTTCAGATCCATCACTAGAAGATACACGTTATTGGAATTCAAAAATCAGTACAATTTATCACTAGCAGTTAGGTTTATTTTAAAGATTATTGTACTGACAAAAGTCACAAAGATTCCCATCTCTGAAATATTTCTAACTGGATTTCTAACCGTTAAGATGCAAAGAGGACATCCGATTTTTACTGTGCTAGATTATACTAGCCCTTATGTAGCCATTCAATTGTGGAGGTGAGGGGGGGAGGAGGGCAGGAAAGGCAGCCTCTTCTCCCTTTTTTGTAGCTGGGTAAGGATCAACCAGATTTAGCTCCTGCCCTTGGGCACTACAGGGCTACTATCATGATGGTCTCTCAGTGGTGCATGACACTTACCAGTGGGTACGGAGTAAGTGTAGCCATAACTCTTCCTTTCCCATCCCACCCCCAATATGCTTTCAGTGGCCAGAATTGCTGATTTGTCTTACAAGATGAGTAAACTGCCCCCCAGTGCAACACAGAGCCCCAAAGAGGCACTGTGCCACTGTACTGGTGCTTCACGTCACTCCCAACTCAGGCCACATAAGACTAGGACCATACTGATGTTAACAGCTAGCCATGTGCGAGGTATAATGGCCAGCAAAGGAACCAGATCCATATATACTAGGTTTGGTGAAATTTACACCTCCCTGAACAAGGCTGGCCTTTCCAGCTGGTGGGTGCAGCCTTACAATCCACTGTGAGCTTCACGAGGACCCCTGCCAACAGAATGTTGGAAGAATGTGCTGAGCGGACCTTTCTTTGGCCATGGCTTTGTACCAGCCAGCACATCTACTTTTAGATAGCTCTCGCCTTCTGCCCTGACCCATGTCTCAATGGAGGGGAGGTTGTGGCCACTTTGCAATGTTGCATAATGCACAGGTGAACGGTCTGCCATGGGAGCCCTCTGCTGGGATAAGCTGGCATACACTGTAGGGTGAATTTAGTCTCCAGACTTTAGGAAAGCTTAGGAGCAAAGGTAAGAATTATGAAACTGCTATTGACAAGTATAACCAAACCGTAGAAATGCACTAAAATATCTATAGCATCCAGACCCACCGGCAGTGAATGACAATTGGAACGCTCCGGCTGTATCTGCTGTCCTCAGTGACACTTTTAGCTGCAAGTTTTTGTTTGAGGTTCAGAATCATGTTGACTAAGTCTTTGGGGTTTTCAGGAAGGTCCAAGCCATTCCACTTGTGGTACTGGTACAAATACACATTTCGAGTTTCTTTCCTCTGCAAAACAGAGATAAACATATAGTAAATTCAAGGGATAACATAATGATCCATATTATATTTATTCCACGTAAATTTAAAAAAAAAATCCTGATAATCACTTAGGACTAGATTGACTTGAACTATGCCTGTGCAGGGTGATAACATTGTGGGTACTCAGACCTTGTGCACCCACTACCATCCATTTAGGAGGTAGATTGGGCCTGAGTGGCGACTTGACTGAATTACCTCACAGTGTGTCATAATTTTCTGTGGGACCAGGCCAGCAATAAATTACTGTTCACTGGAGACAGAGAAGAGCAAGATGGGAGCTGTGCCTCAGGGAGGTCTCTATCCCTCATCTTACTTATGTCTGACTTTGTAATTCAATGGTGACTATAAGTCACATTTTAATGACTATTAAAACGTTTAAAGCAAGGAACTAATAAAACATCAGCTATCAAAACACAAGCAGGTTTGTTCTTGTCTTTTGGTTGTTCCTTATTTTGTTTGCCCTTTACAAAAGACAAAGTTTAAAATAGAAAAACAAATGTAAAATTCCCATCTGTCATTTTTTATCTTTTACCTTCACATGTGTTACATCAAATGCGCGTATGGTGTAACTAGAAGACAGGTTGACATCTTTCATTTCAACTTCTATGCCTTCATATGTTTGTTTTCCTTCTCCCCAATATTGTGCACAGAGTTGCTAGAAATGAAGTATAAATCAGTCCTTATTTTTATCATTGCTTTTGCTTTTCTTCCCAAATCAATTTAAAGGATGCATATATTCTATAACTATTCAGTTTCATTTTATTATAAAATACATCATTGATGAATTTTTATGGTGTAATCAAATATTAATTTCAGCACAATTTAAAATATAAGGATGGAATAAATCCTATTAGAAAACAAAATAATTGATAAGTTGAGTCACTTTCTGACAGAGTCACATTTTTGGTTTGGAAATTAGAATTTTGTTGCAATTTAGAGACTGGAATTCTGTTCTTTTCTCTTATGAAGAGTATCGTATCATATACTTTACTTTGAAGATGACAAACTAACCTGATCTCCTTCTTTCAGCTCTGTCAACATAACAATTACTTTGACTTTTCTCTGAAAGATCATTTGCCAGAAGTCATTGATCGTTTCTGGGAGTGGCCCTTGGGTTGCAATCATTTCTTTTGGACCCCAGTAGCCCTAAAAAAAAGTCCATTTGAACATATGATTTATTTTTACTAATTCATCTGAAAGGCAGTTGTCATGTGTAAAGAAGTATTTACCATCTAAAGGGAGTCTGGTAGCCTACATGAATGAGTTAATAGTCTCAGTATAGTTTCTAGAGGACAAGTATCCATTTTAAAAAAACATCATCACAACTGGCAATAGTTCATAGTGTCACCAGAAAGGACAAAAATTGGTGGGCACATGAGTGACCCTCCATAACTAGCAGTCCTTTATCCAGGACAAAGTTGAGACACATTTGTACAGCCCTGTGGGAAAGCTTAGACTGCCAGTATCTGAGGCAGAATGCATTTTGGGGTTACAAAGAAGGTTTCGCACTCCGCAGTTGGTATTAGAAACTGGATATTGAGTGACACCTCTTGCAACGTCACAGAGTAGCTAAGCAAGTCAATGCAGACTGACATTGTAGCTATTAGTAAACAGATATTTACAATCAGTAGATATGCTAACTGTATTTTTGTCTACAGAGTTCAGACAAATCCCACTCATTGTTAGTTATATCTGTTAGTGTCCAACAAAGGCCCTCCAAAGATGGTATCTTTTAGATGTGACTGTGCCACTAAAAGCTTGCTTTTCAATGCTGGCCTCTGTTTTCACTAGGCCAAATTTGTACCCACAAAAAACTGCATAAAATTGACTGTAAGGGAAATTAATATATATAACTACCTGTGTGTACCTGGAATTCACATAGGTGGAGATCTACTCATATACATGCTGGCAAAAATATAGGTGGCACTGAAAAGCCTAGCTGAAAGTTAGGTTTTAAAAGAAACTATAAAAGATAATTATTTTACCATCACTCTGGTTATTGCAACACTCACTAGATCTAGGGCTATTACGATCGAAGTATTTAACTCTTTGAGGCTGTATAGGTAAGAGCTCTGTCTTTCTCCCATGGGACAGCCAATATTACAAGATCTTTGTGATTCAGTCTATAAATGAACATCCAAATAAAATGCCAGATCTTGATTGTTTTACTCACATAACTAGTACCATGCTAATGAAGCCAATAGGACTACTGGAGAGAGTAAGATGAGCAGAAATTGGCACATAGCTATTATCAGGGACTATCAGCGGAAAGCATATTAGATACAAGTAGTTTTATCCTCTAAATACATACAGTTATAAATGATGCATTTATGTATCTGGTTGCTTCCTCACAATCACTGTCCTCATCAGATGATTCCTCTGAATCATGTTCACTCTCTTTGCTTTTCTCCTCTTCATGTTTAATTGGTACTCTGTTAAAGTCATCTGAAAAAAAAAAGTGTCACAACAATAGCTTCTATTGGCAGGAGGAAAGCAACCATCTCCCTTCTTAGTTTTGTTACAATGGAAAGGGAATGTAGAAAAAGTGCAGTTATTCAGCAGTTATGCAATGGCATAGAGGCAGCAGACATGCCACAATGGTTGTTTGGGGAAAAAAATCAAGGACTCCTCACAGTTTATATTGTAACAAATCATCCACTTCCTAAATTTTCTAGTGTGGAGTACATATCAATATGGTAATTTACTGTCCTGTTTTACCCATAATCTTTTGTAAGAAGCCTTCATACAATTAGAACAAACTGACTGCAGACATCATCGCAAACACTTACATGGAATCATTTTGGAATTCCGGTTTTTACTTTTATTTTCCTGTCGATTGCCAGTGTTCTGTGTCCGCCATCCCCTGTAGGATGGTAGCCTCTAAGGAAAGAAAGCATACAAGGTCACACCATGTGCTAAACAATGGTTTGGCCAGCTTTATAAAATGGTGATATTCTCAGAGACCCATCTCCTCTCTTAATATCTCAGTCCCTCACTGCTTCATTTCATTCCATGGAAGTGCCTGGACCACAATTTATGAACCCTTGAACCTACCACGTGCAGTACCACAAGAAATCATGCAGATGGAAACAATTTAAAAAGATTGCACTGCTGTATTTTATGAACAATGTTAACAAAAAAGGAATAAAATTGCTATTTCTTTAAGCTATTTCACCACTTTAAAAGTTTTTCCAGGAACACAGAGTTAATTTATTAAGCTAATTATGGTACTGCAAGAGTATATATGCCACAGAAAATACATCTGTGTAATGATCTACCAACTATGGTACCCACTCTTCGTGGGCATCATAAGCAAGCTGATTTTTTGTCAAATACATGGATCGCTAGTGGTAATTTGCACCCTCACATCCACATTGGCACAAAGACATTATTGCTACAAATAAACTGATAGCCCTAGGTTCAATTATTTTAAAACATTTTACGTCTCTCTAAGGTCCTTATCCTACAAGCTATTCTACTCAGGCAGTTGCTTGTTCTGCACCTATGTGGAAAAGCTTGCAGGATTGGAGCCTAAATCTTTAATTTTATACACACTCCTGGTTCAGCCACAGGAAATTATATATTTGTCCATTATATTTTTTCTCTAGTTTCTCATAAGAAAAAAGAATTAAAGCTATGGAACCTTAAGGGGAAGAACTGAAAAAAAAAAAGAATTACTATATATTTTCAGTAAGATAAAAATAATTAAAAAATACAAAATATCAATTTACAATCAGAAATACTGGAACAGGTAAAACACAGTATGAATACTTCCGGGGCCAGATTCTTGTAAAATGGCCTAGCTCAGCTGAAGACAATGTCACTATGCCCATTTAGACCAGATGAGTATCTGGCCCCATCCCTATTCCCCAGCAACCAAATATTGGATCTAATTCTGCCACCCTCGCTTTGAGCAGTTCCTTAGTTTGTTGATTTCATTTAAAATTACCAATTTACTTGGCAGAATTTGGCTCTGAATTATTGGCTTATTTAAATTACCGCATGTCACTTTTTTGTTTAAAATCAGAACAGAGTGTCGAATAAAACAGAATGCACTATTATATTTACCTGGAATTCGGCTTCCAGCAGAGAGGGGTCACTGGGAGGATCTCTTTTCTTCAGATTATTAAGATAGGTGTGCAGTTCAGAGAGCGTGACCTCTGTTTCACCAAACTGATTGTATTCCACCAGTGCTTGATGGATCAGGATGTACTGTGCCTAGTGTTCCCCAATTTAAGGATGAGGTGGATTTCAAAAATTAAAAATAATAATTATAAAGAAGAGATTTTTCAAATTGCTCTTGCTATCTAAAACATACTGTAATATTTATGTATTCTTATTACTGTTGCTATATTAAACTGGCAGTAGATACAGCTATTACTATGTCAATTAAATGCAATTGGCTGTGTTAGTGCAACATTTAGTGCTTTTGATCAAAGGTGCTATATAAATAAAATGCAACATAACTTAGATTGTACAGCTAAGAATTTGGGGTGGGGTTTTCCAAAACACCCACCTAAGTTAGGAGCTCAAGTCCTATCAGTCATTTTCAATGGAACTTGTGCTCCTAAGCACTTCTGAAAATCCCACACTAAAGAAAAAAAAGTGAATATGCATAGTTAACCTTGCCCCAAAATGTTCATATTTGGGTGCCAAAAGATAATAGGCTCCTATATATTTGTGTCCCTTTTTTTTGGTTGCAATTCTAAATTTTTAAAAAATGGTTGAAATGTCAAACTTTGGAAAATGCTGACCATCCCTGCTTCATAGATGGTTTTCCTCCCTCTGTTCTTTCATAGTTTTATATTTCCCTGGACAACTGCAATGGTAAATCATGGCCATATTAGTTTTACCTAGAGTTGAGCTAGCTGGCCACAGCTTTTCCTAAGGGAGATTAATAAATGAAACAAAGCAGCAAGCTCTAGAACATACCTCTACTTGAACCATGAGGCATCGCTGTCGACGGAGCTTTACAACATAGCCATAAACATCCACTCTGCCTTCTACCTCTAGCCCCTCCAGCATAGCGTCGATCGCAATATAGGTTCCAGTTCGTCCAACACCAGCACTGACAAGTACAAAGTGATAGTTATTGAGAGAGGAGGATGAATGCCAGTCATGTTCTGCAAGGTGATGCTAAGCAGTGCAAAGAGTGTGGCTTATAATAAATTAATCTACAATTCAAAAGTCTGGTAAACTTACATTTTAAATATCTTTTAAATAAATAAGGACAATATTTTCAAACTAAATAAGTGTCTGCTTTTTAAAAGTTGCAAGCATCCTCAGGTCCCATTGATCTGAATAGGAGTTGTAGGCTTTTATTACCTTTGAAAATCAGGCCTCTTATTTAGGTCTGTAAATATGGAATTAGGTGCCTTACTTTAAAGCAACCAACTTTGAAAATTTTGGTCTAAGCAACTATTGCTAACCTTCCCTGACTTGTTTATCTGGTGTCAAGAATCAGGGGGTAGCCGTGTTAGTCTGTATCTACAAAAACAACAAGGAGTCTGGTGGCACCTTAAAGACTAACAGATTTATTTGGGCATAAGCTTTCGTGAGTAAAAACCTCAAGTGAGGTGCCACCAG